AACCTACCTTTTCCGCTCTCCGTTTTTGGTGCTTATGTTGACTTGAATTGCTTCTTTTTAGGTTTTAGGTTTCATGTTTTCGTGCGGATGCATTTTAAAACCATGACATTTGGTGTTCGGCTGGCTATCTAATGTAGAGAAACCTTCGCGTACATGTCTATTGGCTGTCTAACGTAGATAGAGGAAATTTTGAGCGTATGTTGCCTCGTAAAAGCGTCAGCTGTTCTTTCCATTAGTCATTATTATCATTTGGGAATTTCGTCTGCGGAATTCTGAACTTACCCTAAAATCTTGCAGTAAGTCCGCTTTTTTCACTCACAAGGGAAGGACGGTTAATCGGAGTGACCTTTTTGTTCAAGATTCGTACTTACTTGAAGAGTAAAAGGCTGATTCCAAGCATACATTTGTCTTATTATTAGCCGGCACGACCGCACGTTTTGCGATCTTGTACTTATGTTTTGAATGCTCTTCTCAAACCGTACAAATTTTGAAAACGCTGTTTTTTTGTGTTTACCACTTCCATGGAACAAAGGAGGCTGCCGTCTGGCAGCCTTCTGAATACTCACTGTCTGAGCACCGCCCTTTCTCTTCAGTGTTGTTGAAGTTTTGCCAGAGAGTCCGGCTTAGGAATAAAGCTATTAATTTTACCGTGAACAGAAGCACGGAGGAAAATTACAAATCCACTGAACTCCAGCACACCTTTCTTATCTGCTGCGGATTATTGAGCAAGGAGTTCTGAAGTTCTATGGACAAAGAAATCCAATGCACTACCAGTGTATAATCAGTCGTTGACGTTACCCGTTTCCTAGCGTTTCGAAGTGGCACAGTTGAGCGGACATGTTTAAATCAAAAACATTTATTGCACAGAGTAACCCGAAAACCATTCGGGCCTCAGAAAAAATTGAGGGGCAAATCGAGACTTGAGGCCGCCACGAAGCCCGATAAAGGGCTTTCATGTCCGAAGAGGGATTTCCGAACTTGTCTTGTCATTGATGTGTCAGTTCTCGAATATAAAATTGAAAATTGTATTTTGTGATTGTAACATATCCACAGTTTCGAGAGCGGGAGGAAGGGTTTTTTCATGTTTATGGTGTTTCTATGTATACTTCAATTGGTTATAGTTTTGTGTGCGTAAAAGTGTGTGTGTCTTCGGTCTTACGGAGGTTTGTGTGGGCGGGATTTTCAGTGAAAAAGGGAGGGGGGCTTCCAAGAAAGTGGGTGGAGTTAACCACAACGGGGATGGGGCTGACGTGGCGGTGGTGCGATTATCCAAATTATCGACCAACTCCGCAATCTTTCTCATGCACTTCCTGTATGAAAAAGGCACTGTAAGGGACGGAGAGGGCGGATTTGTCAAAGGGGAGGGAGGTCATCAACGACTCCGTCATCGACACTTCATCGGACTTCATCGACCGTTTTCGGCTCGTGAGCGGAGCATGTCGGTGCGAAGTCTATAGATGAGCTCCTTGAGGATGGGCCGTCAAGCGCTGCGCACTCTTCTATAGTGCTCAAGTGGCCCTGAATCCCCATCCATCCAAAAATTTCGGCTTAATTACCCAGCTGTTTAAAAACCGGTTGAGCATAATTACTTTCCGCGTATGTTGTTCTATACGAATAAACAGTAAGTTCAGTAGTGTTCTGTCTTTTGAAAAAAAAAACTATTTTGGAGTGGGGATTTAGTGTCTAGAACTAATTTGGGCGGGGTGTAGGGCATAAGTGGGGTTTAGAGCTTAACTAGGCTATACATCGGTATACCAGGATAGGCTTGGGAACTTCCGGTGAACAAGATCGGTGGGTTTCGGTAAACGAGTTCCGTGCCGCCGCTAGGGAGACATCGGCCAGTAGCGAATCGGTCGCCTGGATGGGTCCGGCCCGTTGTCTGAGTACAGAGATTTTCCGCTTAAGTGTGCTTGCACTGACGATACGGTGTGGTGAAATTTGCACATGAACAGTTAGGGAAGGGACATACCTCACGCGATTTCAGTCGCCAAGCGATCTGGCAATTTGCCATATGTCTTCAAATTCAATACTGGAAGACCTTAAATGCATAGCATGTATAATTTCGTAGGTTGATAAAATGCCCCCTTTTCCGTACATTCAGAAACCCCGTAGGATGAGTTATGAACATTTGGAGTATTGCCAAATCGCGTGGCGGCTGAAATCGCGTGAGGTATACCCGAGGCCTTAGCCAAATAACGCAAATGGCCGGCATTACAGGCGCAGCTAATCAGACAATTGCAAATGACTTCCGGGGCAAACTGAAGTTCTAAAACTTTCGGCGGACACTCCTATTGAAGCAGTCAGGTTTGGCGGGGCCAGGTAGGGTGGAACCCACCCATACGGCCCAATAGGAACATCCCCCGCAAGCTTTAGAAGTTCAGTTATCCACAAAAGTCATTTGCGATTTTCTGAGTAGTTGATTAAAAGCGAATTCTACCGCACCCCGGCACCACAGGCACACATAAAGATGTTACACGACTGTAAGTGCTTTAGCTTGTGATATTTGATTCTAGGGACATTGCGAGATGCGGCAGCGGATGGAATTGCGAAAGAGAAACCGCCATACATACTTTGCGTTTTCTCCTCCTTTCAGCATGTGTTCTCAATCTGGTTGCTCCCCGAAGTCACTCATCCAGGCTCAAGTCAACGTCTTTACCATGCCCATCTTTTACTAATTCTCATTCTTCTTATTAGGTGGCCCAAAATTAAACTCTTTTATTAAATAAGTTGGGCTGTTTTTGTCTTTCTAACAGATTGAAAGTAAAATTCGATAAAGCGGAGCAAACTCTACAATTCATAGGTCATTTTGTAGAGCTTGATCTGCTTTATCTGCCCTAGTTCTTCAATACTAGGAAAGCAAGACAGTTCAGATTATCAAAAAAAGGAGTTTACTTTTGGAATAACACAATGCATTTCCAAAGATAATTCAGTGATAGGCAGATGGAGGAAGCATTCCTCAATTCAGTGCTTTTCTTCATCTCGCCGGGTTCCCTTTCGAAATTAATAAGGACAATAATCTGTCGTAACCAAACCCCTACATGGCTTTCAAACCTAAGAGATATTACTGGTAGGCATTCAGGTCAGTTAAGAAACGATGCAAGTTATTCTCCTCTGTCTGCGTCGAAGTGGCCCTTTGCGATGATTTGTAAACCTTGTTGGAGAGCATAAAACGCTGATTTCAAATCTGTCTTCCTTATCTGCGGCACATTCTGTGCGAGAAGTTATGAGCGTTTATTGAAGAAAAAATGAGTGTGCAAATAATATAAAAACAGTAGTAACATTATTCCTAGCCCTTAAATGGATCAGTGGTAATCTTTCCAGCGCTCTATAAAATAAATACTCTTAGGTGAGATATCCCGCACTCCGGCTGTCTCATTCAAGCGCTGGGAAAATTTTAGCAACCGTTTATCCCAGAAAAACCCTCATTTTTTGCTCCTTTGAGCGCTCATAACTCCTCGTCCAGGAACGCGCCGCAGCTAAGAAAGAAAGATTTGGAACCAGCGTTTTATGTCCTCCACCATGGTGGACAACCCATCTTAAAAGGCCACTTCGACCAACCGTCCTTCCCTTGTGAGAGTACGCATGGCTGTCAGGGTCGGCTTAAATCCGTTTCTGGCTTTTAAAAACGAAGTCCCTTGACTTTCGTGAGATTTTACGATGTTCCTTTTAAGCTCTTCGGAAACGCCGGCTAAAATACATAACGTAGCTTGTGTTTTTCGGACCCACAAAAACGATATCCCCTTTGCTTTTTCGCCCCGAAAAAGAAGTTTAGCCTGCTTCCAGATGATCTGTGCCGGGCTTTGATGGCTGTGCCCATACCTGTGCTGATCAAAGATATGCTCTTTTTTTATAGCAGAGAAAAATTCAAAATTCGTCAAATACTGAGAAAAAAATGAACAACTGGATACCATATTGCATAATCTGGGAGTACTTATTACCAGTGATTATGCTCCCAACCATATGAAAACATTAATTTGGAACTGGCAATGATTAGCAAATGAAAGCGTTGAACCATTCATTTGATTATTCATTTATTTATCGCAAACGAGTGCGCCGTAGTGACTGCAGTGTTAGTGACATGTATGATGAATGAAAATCGTAAGGAATGTTTGCGTAAGGAATAAGGCGACCGTGAAACATCAAAAGAAACAAGAACGAGGAGAATAAAACAGGTCAAAAAATTCAGTGGAATCTAAGATCTCAGTTGCAGCAGTGCTATATGACATCTCCAGATTATACATCCTTTGAGAACCCAAGCCTCAAAATTCACCAATGTTTTGATTTTTATGAACTATGGCAATTACTATACAATTGGTTTCCCGGTGAATTTGTTAGTTTAGAAACTTGTCGACTACAGTTTATTTCGCACTAAAAGTAAGTTGGAGGAAAAGTCACGGGGTGTGTCGGTCACTTGCGAGAAATCTTTGATCCACTTCAGACTGCTGAGAAGACGCCAGCGTCGGATTGTCAGCTCTGATTAGCATTTGCCAAGAAACCTGATTTTGCATTACATCATTATAGGTACTTTACGGCATAGCTAGGTTTGAATGAGAGAAAAACATCCACCGAGAAACCCAGTCTGGTATCACGTCATTACTGGAACATTACAAATACTCCTATCCAAATGAATAAGCCTCTATCTTATTTTGTAGTATTTGAAGTAACCAGCATTGAAGTCTAGCTAAGAGATGAGGGCTGAATGAGAGACAGAATTTCATAATGAGAGGAGCTTTGAAATACGGAATAAGATTTTCTGCTTGTTTGACCTTTCTAGAACATCGTAGATGCTTTTTGATGTTGACACATTATCTTCACGGGTGACCAGGTGATACCAATTCGATTAGTTGAAAATGAGCACTCTTGGTGATTTTCCTTCACAGTATGCCCTCCTACAAATCGTCATTGTTCTCTTTCCTGCTACAAGCAACAAGTAGAGTCATACATTTGAACATTGCTCTGGAAATGTTAACTTTGTAGAGTTACTTTTTGTGTTTTGACAGCATGAATTATTCCTCTACTCTGCCTGGGATGTCTGCATGTACAATAAAACTCGTTCTTTTCTTCTGCTGCATTAATTTTGCCGAAAGCTACAAAATACTGGTATTCTCTCCTGTAATAAGTCGGTCTCATATGATATCTAATGGAAGGATTGCAGATGAATTGGCTTTGGCAGGTCATGACGTGGTAAGACCCCATTTTCTATTTCCGAATGACTCAAAATTTTATTGAAAAACATTAAATTTATCGTTTTACTAGAATAATATAATCTTCTAGGTGTTGTTTGAACCGGATTTTCTCAACTTATCGCATACTGTCAATCCCGTGAAGCTTGCTCGTCGTTGGCAGGTTCATGGATTTCCGTCATATTTGCACGATGTTTTACAAGGTCTGTAAGTTGCTCAGAATTTCGTGAAAGAAAAGAGCAGTCATTGCGCGCTTTACATTATAAATTTGTAAATAATGTAATTTGGGAGAGGAATCATCCATTAGAATTAGGATAAATGTTTTCGATTTTGGGATTCTGGAGTTCTGCTTGAGAAACATCGTATATCTTCATAACAGCAAAGCTTGAAGGCCACTATGGTATCTTCAAAACTGAGCAAGAAAAAAATGCCTTTAATCGAAAGTGGGTTTTAAAAAGCTGTTGCAGAGGATGAAGCAGATGCCTCGTAGTTCTAATAGTTGTAATGCGATCCATGTGAATTTTCATATCCATTTCTTAAAAAAAACCTGTGTAATCGAATTAAGGCACAACAAGATTTTAGGCTTTGTATGCACATATCAAGCTGAGAAAACAAATCTAAGAATTTTTGCATATGTTTCCCTAATTTATTCTGTTATGGTCGTCAATTGAGCTTTTTCGAACACATTACATCTAGGAGATAAAACTCCTGCTGACAATCATGGATTTTATTGCAGTGATGCAAAGGATTAGAAATGTTAGCTTGAAAACATTAACAATGGAGTTTTCTATTCTTCCATCTCAATCTGGAAGATGAGACTAGTCGATAACTATACGCCGCAAGCTCTTCTCACCAAAAAGCGTAGAAGTGCATAGAAGTCACAGTTATTTGGAAAAAAAAATACCCATTACATGACAACAACGATTCAGCATTTTCTGGCAGTGCTTTCGAGGAGATATCTCAGTACACTGCACAACAAGGATGGCTCCAGTACCAGCATGCATACGACAGGCTTTGCGAAGGTAAGTTTGACGAGTGCTGTGAACCACCGTTATTCAAAAGAAGTGTTGAGATCTCATCAATCGCGAGACTATCATGGAAGAGTTGCGCATGGAAAAATTCGATGGCTTTTTTGGAGAGCAAATAAGTTTGTGCGGACATGGCTTAGCCTATGCGCTCGGTATCAAATCTCATTTTTGGGTGTCTAGGTGGGATTTCTGCCGCAGATGCTTGTTTGAGATCGTGGACTTAGCTAAAGTTCCCTTTTTCAGCTGTACTGTAAATGACCATATGGCATGGATTTTGGGAATGCCTCAACCACTATCGTACATTCCTTCTTATAGTGGCATACATTCGAATAAAATGACGTACTTTGAGAGGGTTCAGAACATTTACGACACATTTTTACACATCTACTTCTGGGATAAAGCAGCTGAAGAGACAAATAAAGTGTTTAGGAAAAAGTATGGGTGAGCGTCAACTTCAATGACCATGACTCAACTGTGCTAAAATTTCGTTTTCAGCGAAAACTTCCCTAATCTGAAGGAAATTGCTTATAATTCCGACTTGGTGTTTGTGGCCACAGATGAGTTTATTGATATTCAAAGTCCTACGCTTCCCCACGTCGTTCATATCGGTGGAATAGGGATTAAGGATGATAAAGTCAATGACGCTTTGCAGGAGGTAGCTCTTATTTTTTCAAACGCACGTTTATAATAGGATTGGATTTTTACAGCCTTTTGCCGAGCAGATGCAGAAAGGCAACAAGGGAACCGTGTATTTTTCGTTGGGAACTTTAGTCAACACCACTTTATTGCCTGTTAAAGCAATGACATCGATAATGAATGCGATAGAACAGACTCCTGATCACCACTTTATTTTGGTTGTAGACAAATTTGACAAGGTAAGGATTGCAAAGTTTTGTAATGGGTGATGAGAAACTAGCGTGGAAATTTTTCAAAACTTGAATTTGGTAGCAATAACTAAGAGCAATCATTACTTTAATGATAGAATAGGGGGGGGGGACAGGCGAGCATTTGTAATTATGTGACAGTCAGGCGATAGGGAAAATTCGTTGTGGGAGGGGGGGGGGGGGGAGGGGAGGAGGATAGAAATAGGTGTTCACCTTCTGAACTTCAAAATGTTAACCTTGGACAACGACCATTGAATTCTATATCAAAAAGTAGAACCACCAGTCAACCCAACAAGCCAGCCCGCTGCACCTTCGAATTCTCTATTAATCTCGACAAAGAGTATCGCCACAAAATCGAGATTTTCTAGAAAACGCGATAGTTGTTCTAGATTTTGTCACATCTATGATCAAAAGTCCAGCTTGAGCTGAGAAATTTTTAGTTTACTAGGACGCTTGCTGAGACAGTGCCCAATGTTTATGTTACCTCATGGGCTCCACAGCCCGCAATCTTGAGTGAGTTTTTTTTTACTTCAAATGAAGTAGTATATTTTACTCATCTTAACAATGTCTGAAAAAAAATCTTCTGTAAAAAAATCAGTCTTATGTAGGCCCTAGATTTATAGGTGGATCTGTCTTCTGGAGTAGCTTGTACTGCGGTGCTACACAGCATTTTGAGTAACCAGGGTATATTTTTCCAGAACATCCCCGACTCAGGGCATTTATCAATCACGGAGGTTACAATAGCCTAATAGAAGCGTCACGAGCTGCAGTTCCTCTTCTCATCATTCCCTTCTTCTTCGATCAAATTCGGTGAGGTGTGCTGCGTTTGAAAAATGTTTAACTGAGATGTGTAAGCTGTAGCGACGAGGAGTTAAGAAATGATCGAAAACATACGAGCCTATTTTTCAGAAACGGCCACGCAGTCGAAAACAGCGGATGGGGAATAGCTTTGGATAAACGTGTGCTTGTTGAAGAACCTCAAAAAGTTGTCACAGCATTGCATAAATTACTCACAAACGAAAAGTGAGTCTTCATCCATTGCTAAATCAGATCAGCTCCAACGCTCCTTCTTTAGTTACAAAAAAGCTGCAGTGAGGATCTCTACTCTGATACGAACAAAGCCGTTCAATGCTTCTGAAAGGCTTGTGAAATACACAGAATTTGTACTCTCGAACGGAGGCATGAAAGAGCTACTAGTTGAGGGGAGAAGATTGAATCTTATAGTGTATTATAATTTAGATATATTTGTGCCATTAGTAGCTGCTTTCCTGTTGTTTTTCTACATTACATTGCGATTGTTGGCTGCTGTAAATCAAACTATGAAAATTAAAAAAGTCAAGCTGCAATAAACAGTTTTTGATTGAATCAAATTCAAAAAAATATGATATTGACTATGAGCACCATGAATTATAAATTGACAAAAGTGGAACAAATAATAACTCAACGGCGACGATCCCTTTCCATAGTGTTCCCAGAACTTATGAAGAGCTGCTTTCGTCACAGGGCTCTGCCAGCTGGCAGCGTGTCAAGCTGGATATTGTTGGGACAAAAGCAAAGGGGATATCGTTTTTGTGACCGAAAAGACACAAATACGGCGTTCTTTTAATCAACGTTTCGTTTTAGGGTTTTTACGTTTAGGGTTTAGGGTCTAAGGGAACTTCGTACAAAATTTTCAAAATCAATGGGGGCTTCATGTTGAAATTTCCTTGGTTCAGCTCGTGCCGAGCCCTGTTTGGTCTTGATCATTTTACCCTCTCAGTTCTATGTTTATTTTTCACGTGTCATTGATTTTTGCAACGACTTACTAAAAAAACTACACTCTTATCTGTTTTTAGGCTAAAAAAACATTGTCGAACGCTGCATTTACCTATACCATAATCAGATAAGTTCCTTCGTTCAGTTTTTCTACTGGCACTCCGTTTACACGAGCAATATTTTTAAACCCAGACAGGTATTCTCAGGTAGGACGAGCACCATCTGCTGTTATTATGAATGGCTGTGACCTCCTTTGGTTGGAAATTTACCTTTGAAACCCATGATTATTTTTTTGCACCTATTAAGGATTCATAAAGACGTGCTATTTTACTATTTTCTTTTTTGAATTGCTGGAAACAGCTGAAAATCTATTGCCATCTGGAGGTCGAATGCAAATTTTCCAATAGCAATTTCAACTGAAGTGCAACAAATAAATAAATAATTGATAGAGGTTCACTTTACGTTTGTCTTGTTTCTTCTTTTCTCAACTCGCATTTCTTGCGTCAACATTTGGTTAGGCAACCCTGAAGGAAGTACATATTATAATTTTGATGAGCATTCTGCTGATTGCAGAACTTACCTGATACCATACTGATAGATCACTGAACTCAAAAACTACTAATAATTAAATGAATGATGCGAAGCAGGCTCTTTTTTTGCTTTCCCGCAGTGAATTCGAATTGTTTATGGGCATCGTAATGCTTTATTCATTTTTCTGCTAGATGGGGTTTAGGTGGTCTTTATAAATCACTCGGTTCTTGATTAATTGATAATCAGTCGATTCTTGTTTAACTAATAAAGAGCAGCAGTCGTATATGCCTAGCAGGAAATGGTATGCACAAATTCACGCGTTATTTACGAATGGTGTGACCTTCTTTGGTTGAGAATTTAGCTCTAAAGCACTAACTGATCAAGCAGCCAATTGTGGCTACATAAACATATGCGCCCACCACTAGAACACCTGTGCCTATAACGATTTTTCTTTTTCAGACGTCAGAAACAAGAGGAATCATTTGCTGGCTACCCTAAAGGCAGTGTCTCACCAAAATTTAGTTGTCAAGATTTGCATTTTGCAAGCCTTCTTGTCTCTGTCTATCTCAGTGCTGGTCCAAAATCGCATAAAATGTACGAAAACCTCGTTTTTGAAAGCCTTGTGTAAACACAAAGCGGACGCGTTGTGCCATCTTGGTCTAGCCTTCTCCCCAGTGGCAGCAACACCTTGGCGATGGACGCCAAGTGGAGGGACACGTTGAAACGCGTAAGGAGAAAACCGGGAGTGTTGGCCGTGTGGGCCAAATCGCGCTTTGCGTGCCATTTTGAAGCAGATTTCTCGGCTTAGAAAGGCCCGGATCGAGTCGGGCCCTGGGGCGGTCGCCTAATCAGGGGTCCGCTAATAAAATATGTGGAGACCCGCATTACCCTAATTCTGGAGAGAACACAGCCTTTAGGCATTCGAATCTCACGTTGAGCATTAAACCGACTTTCAACTGTTACGTACCACTTTCTCCATCCTCAGCGTTGGAGTCTTCATAAAAATCTGCTCATTTCTATGCTTTCTTTACCTTCTTCTGAATAACAAGAATGTGTCTCATTGATGGTTGAGTACAAAAGCAGATTTGCATAAATTTGCATATACATACAGCTCTGAGAAGTAAAATACAACAGCTTTGCAAGAAAACATTGTGAAACAGTAGTCTTGAAAACGTATCATAGATGACAGGCATCGCACAAGAACACTTTCAACTTTTATATCCTAAGATTTCACTGAATTCATAATCAAAATGGAAGCGTTGACTTTGTAGGCGGCCTTTCCAAATGCCGGATGTGTCATGTAGAGTACCCATGTTGGAACAAAGGTGAGGACGTCATACACGAAGTCTCTTACCAGGAATGATAACACGAAATGTACTGAGTAATAGAAAAAGACCTAAATAGAAAAGTGAGTCATTACACAGCAAGCATAGCCTTCTGTCTGGGGGCCACCACCACGATTTTTATTCAAATGTATTGCTTTATTTGGGGCGATCAAACGTCATTTGTAACTCAATACGCATAATGCACACATTGCGCGCTATTTGAGCAAGGTTGTCTGTATATTTCCAAAGATTTCTCTTTGTTTCTTCTGTCAATTTTGATTAATTGGGCATGTGTTATTTAGTAGTGCACATTTCTGCACTTTTACTTATGCTAGGAGTTTTCTAAGGAACTATTAGTAAAGATATAGTTTTTTGCCGCACATAGTGTGAATCTAATACTAAATTAGAGTTGACTCGAAAATATGTTACACTTGCCTCTCCACATGAACATTAGAGCTCATACAAGCTTGGATATTTCGAATTATTCAAAATAAAATATTGAAAGCACATCGTAATTAGTAATCAACCAGCGCTTGGAACTAACAAGGGAAGAGTGTTTCAAAGTAGCGTTTCTAAATGAGATTAATACCGCTTTGAAGAGCACTGACGGTTATTCCAAATCTGCCTTCATTATCTGCCAAGCGCCTCTGGACACTGAGTTATGACCGTTTTTTGGAAGGAAAAATGAAGGCAGAATTTAGGTTAAAAAATTGATACATTATTTCCAGCACTCAGATAGAGTAATGTTGAGTATTAGCATATTAGACAAAATGTATCCGTTGCATGAACTGCTCTAATACTCGACGCAGGACCATTTGAGCAAATTTGGGCAATTTTGCTCCAGTTTTATGTTCAATTTTATGACCCGAAAAACGCCCGTAACTTGGCGTCCAAAGTCGCTTGGCAGATATTGAAGGCAGACTTAGAATCACTATGCAAGACTCTCTAAAGCAGTATGGGTCTCATCTGGAAAGGTCACTTCGACTATACACGCTTCCCTTGTAAGTTGCACAAACTTGCGGTTTGTTTCTCAGCATTTTTCTAGGCACAAAACAGATAAGAGTGGGACGAAAGCAAAACGGGTTGATGACGTCATTTTGGAGCGTTGACTGTTTGAAACTGCTGGTGACCAATGGATATCAGTATTTGTTGATATGTATTGGTTATACGATTGGTTAATCGAAAAAAGATAGAGCAGATTGGTCCACACTTACCTGAACAGTGCAATTGGCAGAATGTGAAATACAAATGGAGCACGCCAGAAACAACAACGATTTTTCGGTTTTGCTTTGAAGCTTGTTTTTTCTGAAATTTACTGTAACATTTTACTATTTCCACAATTTCGAAACTTACTTTGTTAATATCCTCCACTTGATGATAGTTACCGTGAAACAGAAAAGATCAATAAGGCATACAATGCTCGTCACAAAAACCATGCATTTACTGTTCCTCCACTATAATCTATTCATTTAATGCATGTCTAACGTATAAAGCTGACATCCCTTTATACATCTTGTTTACTAAGTAATTTTGTATCCATGATTACTACATAACTGCTATGGAAACGGGTCTCTTTGAACCTGATCAGGATTTTTATCGATAAAGAAAATCGGTGGTAACCCTAGGAATGTTTTTGCGCCTAATGCGAATTTTAGCTGTTCATGATTATACGAACACCCCAAATCAAGCTTCTTTTTTCGCACGAAACAGCAATTCGAAACAAGATTTTTGTAAAGTTTACAATAAGAACGTCTGAGATATGTGCTACACATCAAGAGCAGCGCAATCTAAAAAAAAGCGTTACTCTTCTCACAAGGGAAGCATGTTTAGTTGAAATGGCCTTCTTGATTGAGATGTATTGGAGTTGATAAAAGGCTGATTCCAAGTCTGCCTGCTAATCTGCGGAACTTTCATGAACGAGGAGGAGCATTTACGGGAGCAAAAGAGTCAATGTGCAATTAGGACAAAAATAGTCGTAATTTACTCTAGCTCGTAATGGAGCAGTGATAATTACCAGAGCAGTGTAGTAGTCTAAGATAGAAAATTTATCACGCTTTTTTGCTTTATCTGAGGGCTAGTCAAATTGTAGCGAATTCATCCTAGATGCACATTCAATTGCTTCAAAAAACACTGGTAACGGCACAAACGTTCCACAGATAAGAAAGGCAGATTTGGAATCCGTCTCCATCCCATCTGAAAATCCACTTTCACCAAACATGCTTCTTGGGCCAGATGGTTCGAAATGCTTTTTGCGCCGGTGCCCTACAAAAACGTTTGTTTTTCTGTGGTACAAACGCTATGATTAGCCTCTACCAATGCTGTGAGATAAATTAAACCTTTCAATGGTTATCTTGTTTGACGTTCAGGCTGTGCTTTTAGCTGTCGCGTTTTTCAATTACGTTCAAACTTACCCTGGAGATAGCACAATTTCGAGCCTCAAAACTCAGCTTCTGCAGTCGCATGATAACTAACGGAGTATGTACAATTTTGTAGGACTGTCTTTGGTCATCAAAGACGTTCTGCGACGTTGAGCGTTTTGGCTACGCAGTATGCTTTGGACCGAATCGAATAAATATTCGAGTACTCGAATAGTATTCGAATAAAGTTCATTCGAAATTCGATTATTCGAGAAATTTGAAGTTTTGGACATATTTCGATATTCGCTTATTTGAGCTTTATCATTTTCGAATTCTCTCGACTATTCGGTTGAATTTTTTGATTTTCGAATAAATTAACATTCGAACAATTATTTCCAATAGTTATTCGATTAGCCGATATTTCGTGTAATCGAATAATTGCATGATTTTAGTTGCTTGTGTCCCCCGCGCTCTTTCTCCTTCCAGTTGCTTCCCTGCATTCATACGTCATTCCATCGCAAGTCGCTCTCGCCAAGACCACGTTTTCGCATAAAAGCAACCGTGATAAGTTGAATGTGATTCCAAACTTTCTGTCAAGTTTACGAGCATTACTCTCTGGACGTGATCCCTCTACCCTGCTATCCCGCTTTGTATTGACATAAGTTCTTGACTAGGTTCTTTACCATTATGGACTTGAAGTGGGGAAGCATAATTGGGGAGGGACCACCCGGGGGAGTGCCGGCTCATCTAAAGTTGGTGGCACTGCCCAGTGACGTTGGGACCGTGAGACTATTGTAATCAGTCAGTGTCTCGACATATCAAATCAATGAATTTATTGCATCAAAGCTTTGAAAAGAAAAACTCGAGTAGGGGATTCAAAAGGACACAGCCTTTTGCTGTTATCTTTATAAATGTCTTTCAAAGAGTCTTTTCTTTTGTTAAGTCATGGCTTCTCTAATCTGCTTTTCATATCTTGGGAAGCTCCTTTGCAAGATGTTTAAAGGGGTTCTAAGCACAACAAATGCTCAGCAAAGAGGCAACATGTTTGGACTCGAAGTTGAAAGCTGGAGTTTGTATACAAATTCAAGTGAGCATGCTGCTGGGACACTGGGGGTTGTGAAGGGATAGGCTAGTACTAATTACATTGGCAATTACGCTTACTGATTTTGACAATTTCTGCAACGGAAGTAGGTATAGTCGTGAATGAGCATTTTGCCTCTACTGTTTTGCGCTCTCAACGTTGGGGACAGGAAACTGGTGTTTAGGGTGGGTTAGGTTGGTGACAGGGCCCGGCACAAATCGTCTGGAAGCAGGCCGGACTTCGTTTTTAACCCATTGACGACGATGTGGACCACCGGTGGCCTACGCGCTTTTTGCTGCCAGGGACGATGTGGACCCCCGGTGGCCCACACCTCCCGCAAAGTCGTATTATTTGCAGGTCTAGTATTTTTTCCACATATGAATATTTTTCCAGTTTTTTTGTATTCTTAGGACCTATAGGGCCTGTCGTTCAAGAAAATGTTAATAATTGTTTACAAAACAATGTTGCATTTCGTAAATAAGCACGAAACCTTCCCACACTGAAAGTGTCGTGCAAAATCGCGTCGTCCCACAGCGCCGCCGCGCAAAATTAGGCGTCGTCGTCAATGGGTTAAAGCAAACAGCAAAGGGGATATCGTTTTTGACAAGTCGGAACCGAGCACCAAGGATAAGCGCCATTTAGGCAAACACAAGCTTTTCGGACAGGTTATCACACGATTGACATGCTCCATCGTGTATGGCGAAAAGTGCGCGCGATTTGAAAGCAAGGCTTAAATAAACAAATTGCTTGTTTACAGCGCACACGAAGCATATGACACCAAAATTGAACTGTATGTATAGAAACTTATTTGCGAAAGTATTATGTAAAAAGAATTGGAAACTTATGTGAAGTAATACCTTTTCCAAAATAAGATCGTCTCCAGACGGCCACCAGACGATCTGAGATGGTCTGGAGCATATATTTTCGTCACTTCACATAACTTCCGGATCTTTTTAGCATGGGCGGATTCCCCCGTCAAAAATCTATCCCTGAGGATGAAGACATTTTCATATCGTTGCCTTTCCTTTCCTTTTTGCCTTCATTTCTTCTCGCTTCGTTAAATATCGCGCTCTAATGCCAAAATCTTGTGCACACGTAGTATTCAACTCCAATTTGGATTTTCACTCTTATCTTACCTATTTTCTTCCAGACTAGTAAATCTTTCTTGTTTTTATCTCCTCCTAAGCAGGTAGGTCAAAGGAGACTTCGTAAAACTTCCGAAAGTCAGGGGAGACTTCGTTTCTAGAAACCCTAGAAAGCGACTCGTGCCGGGCCCTGGTTGGTGACTTCCATAGAGTTTGGATGTAGACCAAGCAGAGCCGGATTGTCCATCAGTTCATTAGCATGCGTAAGATTTTTGATTGCTATATCAGCAAATATCGTTTGTTGTTTAGTCGCATACCACATGGAGCTCTTCACTGTGCTGATTGACCAAGTTTTTGGTTGAATATTCGACACAGTCAATAGAAAGTGTTCGTTTTTCGGAATTTCTTCTCGAATATATTCGAGTTCGTAAAAATTTTATATCGAAAATATTCGATATTCTATTATTCGAAAATTTTCTATTTTGAAAATATTCGAAAATTGATTATTCGACATTTTTGATTCTGGAAAACATTCAATATTTGGATTTTCGACATTTTTTGTTTTTGAAAATATTCGAAAACCGATTATTTGATATTTTTGTTTTTCGAATATATTCGATTATTCGATTACTCGAGAAAAATTTCGAATATTGCAAAGTATACTACGCAGACTATTTTATGCATTGAAACTGTGTTTACATTACAGTCATAAGCTCAAATGCCTCAAGGTTAGTCTTGCAAAAAACCCAAGTATTTCAACACTGATAGACTAACAAACAAGCAATGCACCTGTCTCATCACAACTCTTTGGCGAGACAGCAGGTGAGTTCTGAGGCTCGAAATTGTACTAACGCTGGACTAAGGGCCGCATGCACTAACATCCCTGCGGCGAGGGGAGCGGCGTCCCCAATGATGAAAAAGCCGCAGCGGCGTCCGCACGCGGTCCCTTCATAACGGGGGACGCCGCTTCCCTCGCCGCAAAAATGTTAGTGCATACGGGCCTAAATCTGTTTCGTTGAACACAACGAGTATACAGAAATTTTTCAAGCGTCAAATTGAATTTTTATCACAGAGGCCTCATTCATCTCATAGCACAGGTAGAGGATAATTAGCGTGCTTGAACTACAGAAAACAGACGTTTTTCGTTGCACCGGGATAAAAAGGATTTTGAGACATCTGAATAAAGTGACGCTCTTCTTTTTAGACTGGGATGGGCTCACTGCGTAGCACATATATCGGATTTTGTTATCGTGAACTCAAGGAAAAAAAAAGGATTCGAAAGATTGCAGTTTTGAGCGAAAAAAGAACCTCATTTGAGGTCGTCGTATGGTATGATTATGTACGCCAAAAATTCGCATTCGGCGCTAAAACATTCCTAAGATTACCATCGACATTCTTGTACCGCGTATGCCGTTTTCGGCTATGGTCTTTCACGAACTACCAACGGTTCCCGTTCTTATAAGTTTTGAACCGCACTTTATATATCTACAATGCCTAAAACTCCCAAAGCGCTAATTACGAGAAGGATACCAAGTCGCACTGACAAATCGGAAAGAGATGTATAAGACGCTTTTTTGAATGCTGATTTCAATGTGATTTCCTTCTCCAGGACAAGTTCTTGGAGGGAGAGAGGGTTTAGAAGTAAGTTCTTCAAACCTTAAGTGACATAAAATCAGCGAAAACCTACACAAAAACGCTTGAAACTGAGTGATCAATTTTGAACCAAGTGTGTTCACCATAAGAAAAGGACGCAGCCGCTGGTGATTTTATGCCACTTGAGGCTTGACAGATTGGACTTTCAGGCGCTCAAAACTTCTTTTGAAATCTTTACGCAGAAAAAAGCAGTGTGGGACCAGCATTTGAAGGTGGCATACATCTCTTTTGCGCAAGCCAGTGCATTTGAATTCTCTTTG